CCGTGGCATATATCGATCATATATCCATGAGGTGGACCCATGATCTTGAACACGCTTGGTACAAGTAAGGAATCAATTTAAAATATCCTATCTAAGTCAGTTTTTCAAGCCGAACACGAATCTGAAGTCTATTTTCGTGATTTGTGTAGAAATTGTATGACTTTGTGGGGTAGGACCAATGGTGGGTAGGTAGGATAGGCCACAGTGTGGTCCATACTAATTTGGTCCCCGAGTTTTTTCTTCTTGACAATTTAATGTCAAAAGATGTATCTTGACGAGATCTATGTCTAGTTAAAAAAAACGTTTGGCACCGCTTGCACCACTCAAGAAAAGCCTAAAATACTGCTATCGCAGAATGTAGGATTTCTTGAGTTTTGGAAGGTTTTTGATGTATAGCGTTTCTTTTATCCCAGATATGAATCATCGAAATTGGATAAAATTGTAGCCTATACTATTCCCTATCTCATGAGAGGTGCCCGATCTCAAACGGTCAAACCATTCATGGGAAAATGCCAAAATACTGAGCACACCCATTTTTAGCGGCTTTTTAGGGTCAAAATAGACCCCTTAAACTTGTTTTAGCTCGCATTTTTCATAGGTAAAACCAAATGACCTAATATTTTGGATTTAACTATAGTTTACCTAGACCTATCATTTAAGAAAATAGAATCGAAAAAAAAAGTTTTTTCCCAGGCGACCTAGGGTGGTCTTCTCGCGGACCCTCTCTGAATATCCGTTTTTCTGTATTTTTCGAAAAATTATAAAAGACCTTTGAGTACTGTTTTGGAACTATCCAGATGAACACAACAGACTTCTTTGCCAATTAAATCAATGATTAGAGAGATGCAAGTAAGAATAAATTAAGAAAAACGAAATAAAAAAGAGAAGAAATAATGAGTCTCCATCTAGTGTTCGAGTTCGTTACTTTCGACATTTCATGTTAACATAATCACACTAAAGGACAAATGTGAGTTTCACCTTTCAGCTCGAAAGAATCTGTGCTGACAAGTTTTTAACACAAATAAGTTTGCTATTGCTCTCAAATATCCTTTAGACCGTGGAGTTAGTCCTAGCGTATTCCACTATAGATGATTATCACTACTAGCATTCTAAGCGCTTCAAACCACACGAATTTTTAAATCGGCGCGACAAAGAGATTTATAGATACATCTGAAACTTTCTTAGACGAGCTCGAATGGCTTGGAATTCAAGTAGTCTATTTGAACATTTAAACTGGTATTATTTTTGTCAGAGTTGTTTCCACAGTTTCTAGACAATATCCTAGTCTAATATCGAGAAATAAATAGTGTCTAGAATAACGTTCTTCTGCTTAGGAAGGACGAACCTGGTGCGCCGATGATACATAACGGCATTCTTGTCACAATACTAATGGTGATTGCGAAAATATGTTCACGAATCTTGAATAAAAGAAACATACAAAAAGTTACTTGTATCAAATACAGATCGAATACATACGGCTTGATTCATGGCTACACCTGGTGGAATAATAAAATTTTTGTGGCTAACAAAGTTTTTCAGTTCTTCTTGAACGATTCTAACAAATCGGGGAAGACTTTTAGAAAGTACTATAGCGAGTTCTTCTCGTGATGGTGTTTTCTGATCTCCACGTTTTCTATTATCCTCTTCTGTAGGCAATCGAAAATAGTAGATCAATGCAAGTGATAATGCTATGGATCGATCAAGATCTAATTGTTCTTCATCTTTACGATGCTCATAGAAATATTCAATGAGAGAAAAACATCGTTGAATTTCTCGTTGTGATACCGTATTTTTTCCTACAAAAATAAACAAATAAATCGGTTTATAATTGGATAGTTAGGAAAATGTTCTGCTGGAATGTTATTACCGAGTTTCTCCTCACAAAATGCTTGTGCATCAAGAATTGCCTTTTTGAGTGTTCTTTGTAAATAGGTTCTTTGTTCTAACTCCAGGGAAAAATTCAGATCAAATTTTGCCACCTTTTGTGTGATATAATCGTCCAATGTTTTCAGACTTAACGCTCCATAAGACACTTTCAAGTTTTCCAAAGACTCCGGTAGTTGATGCACCAAATAATCCAAACGATAAACGAGTTTATCTTTGTCGGATATATCTATAGCGGGATTGATGGCAGCCGTGAAAAAGAGATTTTTTGGCAATCCGACGCCCTGAAATGTTCGATCCGTAAATATTTCCTTGAATAAACCGAGACATGATGATGTATTCACTTCGTCGAAAAATACAACCAATTCAATATGCTCCCATTTCTGAGCTAATTCAGATATCGGTAACAGAAATCGTTCGAGGTCTTGTTCAGTCACGCCTGGATGAATCAATAGTCGATAGAATACTGGTTTAACATGTGTATGAGATAGAAACTCATCTAAAATCTCGGCGGATGTTCGGATATTGAACAGACCATCTTCAAGTAAATTATTCAGTTGAGAATTGGCTTCAATCAAAGGCATGCTCGTCAATTCGAATATTACATATTGATGTACGGCATGCAATAGTTGTTTCGTAATTGACACAGAATTCTTTTGGGCTACAATCAAAATTGTCCGCCAAATGTATAGTAACATATCAGAGTTGTATTCACATTTTTGTAATGATGTTTTACACTGTTTCAGTAGTTCACAATTGATTCGTTCTATCGATTGAGGTAGATCAGGAACTTCAATGTCGTTGATGAATTGATCATTCAATGGAACTAGTTGTTCTTCGTTATGGGGTATCGTTACATTTGAAGGTTGTAAAAATCTTAAATTTGACGGTTCTAGACTTTCTTGAACATCACTATTTTGTTGATTTTCTTCTTCCTGTTCGTCATCGCCGTTTTCTGTATCATCCGGTTCGCATTCCTGAGCTTCCCACTCGTTGTAATCGTATTCCTTTCCTAGGTAGTTGCCTGCATCATCATCATCGTAGCTATATTCACGATCTAGATCGATGTCATCATCTTTTGTATTCTCTTCATGAGAACCCATTAATTTCGGTCGTATTCGTTGCAGGACTTCATTCAATAGACTTGGTTGCATCTCTAGAACTTTACCAATAATCTTTTCTGACAACCATAAACTTGCGCGTTCAAGAATTTGCGTACGAAAATTTGTTTGATCATAGTTGTGCTGAACACTTGCATTTAACAATAACGAATAGAATTTGAGAAGATATGTTTTACCGATACCAGTATCTCCCTCAATTATTAATGGCAAAGTGGTTAATTTTCGTTCGTGAATATGAAAAAGTTTATAAGCGAAATTTTCAGTTAAAATAAATTTCATCTGATTCATAATCCGTTCACATGTTTCATATTTGCTATCGACAAGCCACGACAAACATTTGAGAAAATGATTTCTATTTAAGAATTCTGGTCTCTCCAATGGATCAGTATTTTTCCATAAAGCTTTTAATCCAGCTGGAACCTGATCCCAATTATTGTGTAACAAATGTAATGCAAAACCAGGGTCGTAAACAAGATATAAACGTGGGTAATCATCATCACGAAAACTTATTTCAGAGAGAGCCTTCGCTTCTTGAATCATCTGCGTCATAGCTGTTGAGCCAAGATTCGGAATAGTCTCGTTCAAAGTATAGTAGCAACTGGTGAAAAATCGAACACGGCGATAAAGAAATTTGGCAAACGATACTTCATAGATTTTGTTTCGTCGCCCATGTGGCGCATATTTGTCTATGCACTCGTAGATATATCGACGACATTCATCCTCATCATCCAATTCTTCAAATTCGTATGCTACACAGAACGGTGTCGATGGACGACGGTCGATCGTGCCATTCGAATAAGCCTTAAGGAATCGAGCCACTAATTCTTCTTCGTCTCCAATGTACAAGTGATAATCTTCATCAGTAATAATTTCTATGGATGATTGAGCAATGATTGAAAGTAATGGTAATAAATAATTCAAATTCTCCTTGATATCCATCTGATGTTTGTTGCAATAAGGAACTTCGATGAAAAATTTCCATGGTTTAGTGCTTGGCAATGCAAATGTCAGACCACTGCTCGGATCAGTAAGTGAACCACAAACAAACAACGAAAACAAAGCACGATTTAAATCAGCGAAAGGAGCATAAATAGAAATATTAATGTAGACCGATGGACAACCGTCTAACATTGTCGAGTCGTATAAAAGAAGTGAACTTATGAATGATGATAAACTTAATTTATCATTGATACTAAAACGCAACGTATCTTCTCTGATGTATTGTGTGTTGATTCGATGAGTTTTGCCTGAAACAAAAAATAACCCAATCAATTTCATACAAAAGAAGATCAAAACGGTATGAAGTTACTTACCAGTTCCTTCTTTTCCGCAAATGATGTGAAGTTCTGGTGGTATTCTTTTGGTGCGTTGAAACAATTGAGTCAATTTAGTATGGATCGACCGAGCATTTCGATGGGCAGATGACACATGAAAGAATTTCAAGCCTCGTCGATACGTTGTCAATTCTCGTGAAAAGTAATAAACGATTCCATGTGGTTCTCTAGATTTTGTTAACAAATCTTGTTCATTGAGTATTATTTCACGAAGACGAGGATGCATTTGATCGATATCCATAATGACGAAAATCATGTTGGCAAATGTTCGAATACGTGAAAAAAACAAGTGAATATCTTCTTCATTGAGTTCAGAACACCAAAGGATTTGAGAAGGTGACGGAAATCGATCGTTAAAAAGATTTAATAGAATACAAAATGTATCAATATCCAGTGCACATTCGCATGTTTTTTGATCAGATGTGTGATATGTTGAGATCACTGTAACAAGATACTGTTGACTTTCATTGTGCGTAACATTCGATTGTATGGATTGTTTTGAACGGTTCAAGAATTCCTTTAGAAAACGGTCGACATGCTTGAGAGATGTATCGACACTAACATCATGTTCAAGTGTATGATTTCCATACAAATCGGAGATAATATCTTCGAATGAATCATACTCATTAACGGGTAATGTACGGAGATAGTATTCCAAGGAATAAATCATTAGTGAAAATATATTTTCTTCATCATTATCATTTGCTGTTTTCAATAAATATAACTTTTCGAAAAGTTGATGTTTGATACGGTAATCGGCCGTGGAATTTGTCAGTAAAATGATCATGTTCATGATTTGGCGATTGGAGAATAATTTCAACAATTGACTTCTATTTCTCCATTCTTCTAATCTGTCAATCCACTCGCTGTACTCTCGATCCAGTCTATCGCAGATCTTCGTGAAATATTCTGTTCGAGATTGAACAATATCCTGTAATTCTGTTTGATCGATATCGTTTCTCGGTTTCAGTAATATTGTATCGATTGGATCTAATAAATATATAAGAATATTCTAGCATAATTACAGAGAAGAACATTTAAGCTATCTTACTTGTTTGATGGTAAATTTTGCAACGTTTTGTTTTTAGCTGATACTTTGGATGACCACTCCTTTCTAATTTGATAAAAGTTGAATAAATACTTGCAATAAGCTTTAATAATTTGAGTTGTTCGTTCAAGAGAATTTTCATGTGAGACATATTCGTGGGTAAATCAACACTGCAAAATGTTAACTGCCGTTTATGATCGTCAATATCAGACATAGATAAAGTAACTTTGACTTTATTTGGCGTAGATTCTTCACCTTCGTCGTCGCTACTGTCCTCGTTTTTTTCTTCTTGCTTAGTTGTGTCATTTGCTCCTTTATTGTACTTCTCGTTATTGTTTTTGTCTGAATGAATCTTGTCAATGAAGTAGTTAATTTCAAGAGAAGATTCTTCTTGCAGTAGATGTCTAAGACGAATATGAATTGTACCCGTTTTATATAAATGCTCCATTACCACAAGAGCATTATCAAAAACGGTTGTTTCTTCTGCTGATAGCCACATACGAATGATTTGGGCATTATCATTTACAACTATGCAGCAATAATAAGTGAATATGTTTCTATACATATATATAGATCCCTAGATATGTTACAATGCCAACTTCCTTCTAAAACACTAGAATCTCAAGATTTAAAATTTCAGATAGTTTTCGGTTTTTTTTATTTTAGTTCTTTACTTTTGAGTAACGATACCGATTATTGCTTCAATAATGACCAAGCTTTATCGATAATGTCAAACTGAAAACTTACACTCAATCATTCAAGTACGAAGATCTCTCTCTCATGTATTTTGTCCTCATCTTCACTTCGATGCTTCCCTCATTCTCAAGTTGATTACTTCTATACCTCTGAATACATGAATAGTTCAATATCTTAAATACTTGAACCTTACTTGCAAGTTTAACATGCATGAGTTTTGCATAATCTGATCAACGAAGAAAAAATATCATTATGATGGAAGCAGGGGTCGCGAAAATAGGGGTGTGGAAAGTATACCTCCCATTAAGTGAAAATTTTGGACTTTCTAGTCATGAAAAATAGACAATAAGATTTGCTAATTTTGTAATCTTATATTCAAAAGAAATAACTATACATTGACACTATAAATACTGTACAGTTGTTAACGACATACAAGGTAGACAGATGGATTACCTACTATCTTTAGAAGTGTTGGTCTCTGGAGGACATCATCTAGAGACAGCTACATTCTATTAATCAGTGAAACCCGGTGACGGGAAGCGCGCAGCATCCTTATCCGGAATGGCTGAGCGATCGAGTGCCGAATCTCGGCAACCTATTGCAACTAGAAGTCGTCGTGCAGTTGCCCCAGCAGTAATTGTCGATACTTCTAGCCAAGATCAAGGTCCTAGTGCTGGCATTCATGTGGCTCCTACACCCACTCGTCGGTTCGAAAATAGCACTCCGCATGGAGGAAAAGGACCGAGTGGTGACAAACCCGCTGGATCGGGGAAGGCATCAGTTTGGTCAGAAGAGGAAATTGAAAAGCTAAAGCGATTAGTTCCAAGCAATGTCACACCCTCAGGTACGATATCTTGGAATGACGTCGAAAAAGCTTGGATAGATCTGAATCTGCCCAAAAGGACTAAGGCAGGCCTTAGCAGCAAATGGCGGGATATCAAGACCAAATCCGCCAGTGTGAGTGTTAGTGATTCGTCTTTGATACAAAACAAGACGAAATTGCATTTGAAAGTCGTTACTATTCCATCTGACACTACTGTAGATGTTAACCACAACGCCGGTAGTAATAATAACGATGTAAACCCTACAGTCGTAAAACCAGATCAGTGCGTACCGGCTGATTTGGCTGATGATGTTGTTAAATCAACCTTCAGGAAAGAATATAAAAAGGCACAAAAGATAGGATGTCGGATGACGTTGAGAAAAACGCCACTAAGAGTCTCCGGCAAGCATATTAAGCCTATCACCTGCGAAGTTAATCGACTGATAAAAAGTGAGTTAGATTTGGTAGTAGGTGGAATATCTTGGAATCAGTTGTCAAATCTAGTTTACGCTGGTGCGATGACAGTTTCTAAGATAGGAAACCGAAAATGTCTTGAAAAACAACAACGATCAAGAGAATGGTTTAAGATCACATATAGTGAATGTGAGAATTTGCGCCGCGTCATCGGTAAAGCTACTAGTGAGTTAAATAGACGGGTGAGAAGTGCGGAAGTAGCCCTTACAAATAAGCAGTTTCATAACATCAGGATGCTTAAAAAGAAATATAAGGTGGAGTCACGGGCTGAAATAACATCTCTTGTAGAAAGATTGAAGTGCAGACTTCAACTTCTACAATCGCGAATAGCATTAAGGAAAGCAGATGAAGAACGTGTACGCGTTCGTCAGATGCCGGCTAAGATGCTATTCCGAGGCACGTGTACTGATTCAGAACCAGTTGATATCCATCAGATCAGAAAGTTCTGGAAAGAAATTGTAGGGGTGAAAAAGTCTTTTAACTCGAAGAGTCCACGGCTAGTAGCATGGGAACAATCGATGTCAAATATTCAGGGAGAGACTGATCTTAAAGGTCGATTGAACCCTGAACTTTGGCAGAAGGTTGTTCAAAAGATAAAACCATGGAAAGCACATGGTCCAGATAAGTTGCAGGGGTACTGGTGGAAAGTCTTCGATTCAGCCAATGCAACACTTTATGATTTAACTCTTCATCATATCTTATCTGGCGAACCCTTACCGCAGAGGTGGATAACCGATGGACGTATAGTACTCATACATAAATCCGGATCTAGGTCTGATCCCGCGAACTTCAGACCTATAGCTTGTTTGAACATCTGCTACAAGCTAGTAACAGGTTTTATAGCCGCATATTTAGATCAGTATGTGAGGGGGCGAGATATACTGAACAACGAGCAAATAGCATTACGTCGGGGTGTGTGGGCTTGCTCACATGCTCTCACTCTTGACCAAACGTTAATAGCAGACGCACAGGATCAGAAGCAGAGACCTATTAGCGTAGCTTGGATAGACTATGCAAAGGCATTCGATAGTCTGCCACATAGTTATATCAAATGGCTGCTCAAAGTAATGCAAGTTCCTGACCTGTTACGAAAGTTTTTGAAAAGCGTCATGAATAATTGGAGAGTACGGTATGAAGCGAGAAGTCCTAGGGGTAAGATAGAACATAGTAATTATCTAAGGATTCGCTCCGGAGTTCTTCAAGGAGATAGCTTCAGTCCCTTGTTGTTCTGTCTAGCGATGGCGCCCATCAGTCACGCAATAAATAGTGTTAAAGGTGGCTATACCACCGCCTCTGGGAAATTTAAAAAGGTGCAAATCTCGTTGTCTCATCTTTTCTATATGGATGATCTTAAGCTGTACGCAAACTCACCTGAAAGTCTAATGGAACAGATCAAAGTCGTAGCATCAATTTCAGAGGACATAAACATGAAATTGAATGTTAAAAAATGTGCTGTAACACACTTTATACCGAAACGAATGCGAAGTGAACAGACAGATGTAGATGATGACACATCTACTGACAGAAGTATAAGCTTCCCGATGCTAGATGGTGAAGCAGTCTA